CTCGACCTGCGGCAGTGCTACGTGGACTTCCTCGTGCCGAGTGGAGCTCCTCTGGACCTCCCCATTCTTACTCGACGCCCGAGGCGGCGGGGACACCGCGGCGCCGGGCGAGACCAAGATACAACAGGCGTCTTCAGACTCCTCGGCAGGGTCGGCCAGAGATGGAGGATCGGGGCTCTTGGGCGCTGTCGACTTGTTGGCTCGAGCCTCCAGGGGACCCCTGGAGGCCTCCAGGAGCCTTGCCCCGTGGCGGGCGACAGGGGGGGATAGCAAATGAGGGAGAGCATGCTACGCATGGAATGAATTGAATAGAAGATGAGGTGTTGGATCCGTGAGTGGATCAGCCTAGACAGTATGAAGGTCAGAGGCTTTGATGCCTCCATTGATTGTGGGTCGGCTATGATGCCAGCCAATGCCCACCCCGTCCCGTCTCCAGGGACTTCGCATCCCCCTTTGATGGCAGGATGGGGAGACGGTCCGCCACCCCCGGCACTGCACGTACTGTGCCTGGTTCGTGGGGATTTTGTTGAATTCTATGAGTGTCCCCTCCCTCCCCTCCCCGCCCCTCTACCTCCGCGCCTGGTCCTGAGTGGGAAGCCAAGTAACGTATACACCGTTTTGACTCCGAGTCCCGGTGACGATCACAACCTGCAGAGCTGCCACGAGTTTGCACGAGTTAAAACCAAAGGGTTACCAGGTAAGGTCTGCAGGCGGGAGGTCTGGACCAAAGGGTTACCAACTAGACGTCTGAAGTGGGAGGTCTGGACCAAAACGTTACCGGTCAGAGCTAGAGAAAGAGCATGTACGGTTGTGGCTTGTAGTTGCCTGGATAGAGTAGTCCCTGTAGGTATCGGCGCACGCGGGCTTGGAAGTCGACCGTCTTGCCAACGTAGTAATGCTTATGCCAGGGACTCCATATTATGTACACGGCAAATTCAGCATGCAGGAGGTCCGGCGACGGTGGCCATGTAGAGGATGGGAGTGAGGATGCAAGTGTGCGGAGCTTGCTGTAGAAGGCGGTGGTGGAGGACATCAGGAAGGGTGCGGTGAGAGCAATGCCCATGCGAATGAGTGCAAAAATGCATGGCCATACGGCCATACGAAGACATTCTCGGCGCACACGCTGTGGAGGGCATGGCGGACCAATGCCAGAGACGTGATGTTGCAAAATCGGATCTCAGGGGTTCTGGAAATGCATGGCATCCCGTCGTCGTGAAGATCCCAAACACCACCGCTTGCGCGGTGCGCTCCTGCGCGTGTACGGGAAGATAGTCAAATCTCTGTCGAACGCGTCTTGGCCATGATGGCCGCCAGGAGCTGCCACAAGTCCCCAAATCGCTTCTCGTCGAAGCGAACGCCGAGCTCGGACGCCTTGTCCTTGAAGACCGCGAGGACCTTCGGGTCTGGCTTCTTCGACCGGCCCTTGGGCGCCACGATGGCATCGAGCGCCTTGCGGTAGACTGCGAAGCGTTGCCGATCCGACGCTGGGGAGTCCTCCGTCGGCACGGCCTCGTCCATGGCCCAGTCGGTAGTCTTCGTGTTCCTGGCCTGGTGCATGCGGTCAGGCTTGAACTTTTTGATGTCGTCGAGCGTGTACTGGGTGACCGTCTTCTGAGATGCCCGACCCCCTCCTGAGAGTGCCCGGAGCGTGTGAGCCGACGCAGGCTGCGCCTCAGGGATCGCCTCCGTAGCCTCGGCATGCGCCTGGCCCTGGTCCGCAAGAAGGGCGGCGACCGTGTGGGTCATGTTGGACAGGCACTCGCCTGACGTGGACTGCTCGGCTCGTTTGTACGAGCTCTGGGTCGAGATCCAAGCTAGGAAGACGGAGAAGGAGAAGGTGTCCGAGTCGAGGGGCACGAACGGCACAATCTTTTGCAGGTTGCGCCTGGCTTGCGCCCGCATGATGTAGGGGCAATACTCTTCGGCGTTCTGGGAGATCTCCCTCCGGGTCTTGGCGGTGCACAAGGAGATGCACCTGCGCATCATCTCGGCGTTGCATTTCTTGCGCTCATTGATGAAGTCCTCCGTGCCGAACGGGACGTCGGGCTTGTAGTCGGGGGGGAGGGCGTAAGCCGTCTCCAGAAGCTTAGATGCAACGGCGTCCCCCGAGAAGAGTAGCTCGCGGACCTCAATGTCGGACAGCTTTTGGATGGCACTCTTGGCGGCCTGCACCCCGCTCTCCGGCGCACCGACGTGGTTGGGTGGGTAAGCCTGGCCTTGCCCGTGGTCCCTGGTGGCTGGGAGGTCGCGGGGGCCACGGGGGTCCTGTTCCCGGCGCGGAGCCCGATCGAAGTACTGGGCACCGTGGTGAGGATCATACTGCCTGGCGGGATAGGCCAGCGGCAGGTGGGGCGACCGCGCCGCCGGCGATGCCTTCGGTGTCAGCCCGTGCGCCATCCTGGGGGCAGCCCCGATCGGCGAGGCAGGCGGTGGCTTCCTTGGGAGTCCGGGGCTTTGCGCAGGGCAGTCCCTGGCGAGGTGTCCGCGGATGCCACAGTTAGGGCAGAGCAGGCGGTCTGGTGAGAGGGGCCGGGTGGGGGCCTCATGGTGGCCACCCGTGGTCCGCGGCATGAGCCTGTGATGGTCACGTGCCCTGGACCTGGACCTAGACCTATGATGGTCGCGGCCCATCCCCGCCGCGGGCCTGTGATGGTCCCGTGCGATGGGTTTGGACCTACACCTATGATGGTCACGGCCCGACCTTGCACTATGATGGGAAGGTTGGTCGCGGTAGAGGTCGTCACGGTAGCCCTTGGGGTCGAAGTCGCCCTTCGCCTGACGCTGCCCATGTCCACGGTCCGCCATGCTGCAAGCGAGTCTCCTGCGGCGCCGCTTGGGGGGGTCCTGTGAGCGAGGTAAGTCGGAAACCTGTACCCTTGGACAGAAGAGGCGGTGGAGAGGGGAAGCGGGAGGGGAGGGGGAAGGAAGGGCGACAGAGGGGAGAAACAGAACAGGAGGGGGAGAGAACGAAGAACGAGCCAGGAGGCAGGAGCAACGAGGCCCTCCCATTCCCTTTGAATTCAATGAGTTCTATGAATTCTATGACAGGCACTGGACGGCCGGCAGGGGACTGAGTCCCGTTCACGGCCCAATCAGGGAGAGCATGCTACGCATGGAATGAATTGAGTAGAAGATGAGGTGTTGGATCCGTGAGTGGATCAGCCTAGACAGTATGATGGTCAGAGGCTTTGATGCCTCCATTGATTGTGGGTCGGCTATGATGCCAGCCAATGCCCACCCCGTCCCGTCTCCAGGGACTTCGCATCCCCCTTTGATGGCAGGATGGGGAGACGGTCCGCCACCCCCGGCACTGCACGTACTGTGCCGGGTTCGTGGGGATTTTGTTGAATTCTATGAGTGTCCCCTCCCTCCCCTCCCCGCCCCTCTACCTCCGCGCCTGGTCCTGTGAGTGGGAAGCCAAGTAACGTATACACCGTTTTGACTCCGAGTCCCGGTGACGATCACAACCTGCAGAGCTGCCACGAGTTTGCACGAGTTAAGACCAAAGGGTTACCAGGTAAGGTCTGCAGGCGGGAGGTCTGGACCAAAGGGTTACCAACTAGACGTCTGAAGTGGGAGGTCTGGACCAAAACGACGCCTCCCAGCGACGGAGGCGGCCACGCATGTGGCGGCGGGGCCGAAACTGGCTGCATGCAGCAACTTTTGCAGCCCGACTCATCTCGCCCCCCCCCTGCGTCGTCAGCCCTGCTGCCGCCGACATCCGAGCGTGGGCCGGGCAGGCGCCCTCTGGTGTGCGGCCGGCCCCTCTGGTCATCTGAGGGCCCGTGGAAACCTCTCGCAGGACAGCGCGCGGGAGAACTCCACGAGGCGTGCTGGGGCTTCGTGAACGGGGGCGTAGCTAAGCGGGGGCTCCGGCTTTTCCACATGCCCTGTCTACTGCGGTGAAGGAAGGCAGTGGATAAGGAACCACTGGATGGGGAACCCAGGGTCTGGAAGCCCGAAGAAATCAAATCGTGGAGTGGCCATGGGTATCACCGTCGCCCTCGTTGGACAAGGAATCTTCCAGGGTCTGAAGCCTCCTAGGCACATACCTTAACGAACGCCCCCACCGTATACCCCTGCTTGCGGCGCCCGAGGCCAGGAAGCGCGTGAGGGGTGTGCCGGAATGTGCGTGGGTGACGCATGTGGGCGGAGGCACCAAGGCCTTCGTCGGAGCTCCCTATGGGACCACGAAACGTGTGAGGGGTCTGCCGGAATGGGTGTGGGTGACGCAAGCGGGCGGTGGCATTGGGCCCTTCGGTGGAGCTCCCTATGGGGCCACGACTCGTGTGAGAAGTGCCGACATGGGTGTGGGTGACGCATGCGGGCGGTGGCTCTAGGGCCTTCGGTGGAGCTCCCTGTGGAGCCACGAAGCGTGTGAGGCGTGTGCCGACATGGATGTGGGTGACGCATGCGGCGGTGGCACTGGGGCCTTCGGTGGAGCTCCCTGTGGGGCCACGAAACGTGTGAGGTGTGTGCCGGAATGCGTGTGGGTGATGCATGCGGGCGGTGGCACTGGCGCCTTCGGTGGAGCTCCCTGTGGGGCCACGAAACGTGTGAGGGGTGTGCCGGAATGCGTGTGGGTGACGCATGCGGGCGGTGGCACTGGCGCCTTCGGTGGAGCTCCCTATGGGGCCACGAACTGCCGAAATGGGTGTGGGTGACGCATGCGGGCGGTGGCACTGGGGCCTTCGGTGGAGCTCCATATGGGGCCACGACTCGTGTGAGGAGTGTGCCGAAATGGGTGTGTGGGTGACGTATGCGGGCGGTGGAGGGGGGAGGCGAGGAGGAGTGAGGGACGATGGGCGCTGTCTCATCGAAACGAGGACCCAACACCACAGGATGGTTGGGAATAACACACCACCCATCAAAACCATGCCGAATCTTGAAGTAGGAAGGCCCCAGAAGTAGATTGTGATGAGGGGATCTAAAAAATTCTTACGTTCAGCGACAGGCAAATACAGGATTTGGATGACCCGATTGGTTTTGCCAACCAAGCAAGAGACCCACTCCGTAAATATCCACGCCAGCGAGCACTCCAATGAGCGGCGGTGGCCCTGAAGAGTTGTAATAGTAAGAGCAACAAACCGCACGAACGTCAACATTCGGTATCGCGCACACCCGAGAACAAGGAAAAGGAAGGAGGAAGAGGAGGAGGAATTGGATGACCTGGCGGCACCGCAGGGAAGGGGCTCTCGCCTAAGACTTCCTCACAGTTCACTCACAGACAAGGCTCCCGCTTGAGTCTTCTTCGAAACGCACGTCTCAGGAGCCCCAAACTGACGACTGTTACAAGATATGGATGACCCCCTCGAATAACGAACATGATCTGGCGGCACCGCAGGGAAGAGGCTCTCGCATGAGACTTCCTCACTGTTCACTCACAGACAAGGCTCCCGTTTGAGACTTGCTCCAGATCCATGCCTCAGGAGCCCCAAACAGACGACGGTTACACAGTATGGACGCCTCAGGAAGCCAACACTGACGACAGATAATGGATGACCCGCCTGGATTGCTGACATGATCTGGCCGCCCTATAGGGAGCGGGCTCCCACCTGAGACCTCCTCTCAATCCACTCACAGACGAGGGGGCTCCAGCTCGAGACTTCCTCAAGATGAATGTGTGAGTGACGGGGCGTGAATGAGAATGTTAAGGAGTGCGTGAGAACGTGTGAGATGACGATACTGATGATGAGCCTGATAATGATAATGATACTGACGATGATGATGATGATGATGATGATGATGATGATGATGATGATGATGATGATGCTAATGATGACGATGATAATCGGTGGTGATGGTGTGAGTGCGTTTGGGTGAAAGCGTGTGTGCAATGATGATGAAGATGATGATGGTGGTGACGATAATGATGATGATGATGATGATGATGATGATGATGATGATGATGATGATGCTGATGGTGATGATGATGGTGTGATGGTGAACGACAAGCAATTATGAATGTGAACGTGATGATGACGATGGTGATGATGGCAATGGTGTGATGTTTATTGTGATGACGGTGTGAGAGTGATGTGGAATAAAAAAGTGCTTCGGGTGAGGAAAACGGAAAGCGTCCAAGTTAACAAACAACCCACGTGGGATGTGTGCAAACATATGCAAAACAGACTGATTTTCAGCAACACATGTGCCAGGTGTTTTTGCATTACCGCGCGCACGCATTTGTCCACCATCGCCCCCATCGGGGCCGCCGCATCACGTCATCGTCATCGACAATCGTCGCCATTGCCGCCACCATCACCCAAATACCTTCGCCACCGCCACATGTACATCATCATCGTCGTCGCTGTCACCAGCATTGGCACCGCCGTTGGCCTTGCTGTCGTCATCTTCAGCGTCGCCACCATCATCCCTACCATCATCATCGTTGCCACCGTTGCCGACGTCATCGTAATGCCACGCCCGCCCAGGTCACCGACCCCCACTGGACTGCCCGTGCGCCAGCGCGGGTTTCGAGACGCGCTGGGCAGCTCCAGTCCGTAAGCGCCATCGCGGCCGAGTTGTGCCAAACAAACTGGCCGTTCCAGAGCGAGCTGGCACGCATTAGCGCAGCCGCAAGGATACGCAAATCCGTGCCAAGCAGTCACCGCAACTGTGGCCGCATGGGCTGCGCACAACGAATTGCGGATGGGAGGGTGGAGCGGTTGCGCGAACATTGGTGTTGACGATTGCAATTTCTGCAGCGTGGGTCCCGTAAGAATGATTGCACCGCATTGTTTACACCGCGTATATTGCACCAGATCGATGGCACCACATAGATTGGACAACGTAGCTCATACCACAAAACGTACATCTCACACATTACACCACGTGGTTTGCACCGGATAGCTCGCATCGCAGAGCTGGCACCACAATGCAACGGCTCACGAGTTGGGATCCAAGCTGGCAAACAATGGTCCCCCCTCCCCTCCCCAGCGCCCATGTAGTGTGAGGAGCAAGCAAGAGGCGAAGGAAAGAGGGCGCAACCACAGGGGCCAGACCAAGAAATCAGTGGGTGTCACAAGAGCGGAAGAAACGAACGAACGATATCCCGCCTCCACCCTACCTCCCCGCCCACCCTTCCTTGAACAAAAAATAACGAATACCGTACCACACTCGCCATGGCGGCCAAGTGGGCGGGTAGGCTGATGGATAACGCCCGCATGTCCACGCAGCGAGCCCAGGAAGTTCCACCGCCGGCTAAAAACTAAAACCGCAACTGCCCAGAACGAGCAAATGAGTCGAACGCGCCCAACTCGCCAGATCAAGCCATGCGGTTGCTCTGGAGCACGAGCCTCGCATGGCACAAGAATCCACCCGAACGAGACGGATGTGGAGGGCGAGGAGTGGGAGAAAAAGAAGAGGCGCAGGCAGGAGGAAGACATGTGATCGGGGGGGGGAAAGGGGGGGGGGGGGCAGTGATGCGGAGCAGGACGCGCCGCCTGGGAAATCCTTCAACAGCACGGAGCCAGGATCGTGGCGTTTGTCCTCGGGGTCCTGGCCCCGCCGCGGCTTGCTGAAGGCTCAGGAGCGGGAGGAACCTCGAAGCAACTCGCTGGGGGGAGGGAAGGGGCAGGCGAAGGAGCACGGTAAGCGACTCCCCTACAAACCCACGCCATCCGGACCCCTCTCAGCATTACAACACCTATATATATAAATATGTATATATACATATACATATATATATATATACATACATACATACATACATACATACATACATACATACATACATGCATACATACATACATACATACATACACACATACATACATACATACATACAGACAGACAGACAGACAGACAGACAGACAGACAGACATACATATGTATACATACATATACATATATACTAGAACCACGCACGCAACGCGCGCTCAGGCTCTAGTCACACATGCGCCACGACTGCCTTCGCTACCGCCGCCACTTTCGCTGCCGCTACCTCCGCCATGGCCTCTATGGCCACGGCCACGATTACCAACGCGTCCAGCGCCGTGACTGGCGCGACGAACCTCGCGGGTCAATCGTGGGGGTGCGATCACGACTGCCGCTGCTGCCAGTGGCGTGCGGGCACATACATGTAGTTCCGCGTGTACGGCTGGGGTGTTATTGGGTGCAATCCGCCCTGGTGCCTGCGCTGAATGTCGGAGGCATCCTGAATGTCCCTTGAGATCTCGTGGGCGGCCTCCTCCTCCCCCTCCCCCTTCCCCTCCTCCTTTCCCTCCTCCTCCTGCTGCGTAGTGCTTTTGGCTCACGCCTGGAGCGTGGCGTCCAGAGTTGTTTGGTCCAAGCTGGCGCGGGCGGCACAGGCGACCAGCTGGGCAGGTGTGGCACCGTCCGCAATCAGCCGCCAGCGGCATGGAACATATCGCTGCGAGGCCGGCTATGGGAAAGCCTCTTCGCGGTGCTTCTGGGACGCGCGCCTTGGCCGACTGGCACAAGCCAAGCTGAAGCTGCAATGCAGCTCGATGGGTCCGCTCGCAAGTACCAGAAGCTGCTCGGCTTCGCAGGCCTACTGCCGGGAGTCGATGCAGAGGTGAGGTGGCGGACAGGATCTTCGCGTCCCTCCCCGCCTCCAACGAGCTGCTCAAGGCACCGACATCCGGGCGCGGTTGTGGAGTGTTCTTGCTGTACGTGGGTCTGATTGGGAGCCTCCTGCCCCGTTCAGGTGTTTTTTTCGGGCCCCCTGTGCCCACCCGCAGCCTGGAATGCTTTCCTGTGTGCCTCTTGGAAACCTTTAAGGGCGTCTTGGGGGCCTTTGGGAGCCTCCTGGGGGCCTCTTGGGGCCTCTGGGGGGCCTCTTGGGCCGGAAAGCTCGAATTGTCGGTTCGCGCTTGCCCTCGGTCCACTCCTGGGGTCGTCTGGGGGTCCTTTTGGGCCGTCATGGGCGCCTCTTGGGCCGTCTTGGCGCCCTGTGGGGCCGTATTGGGACCGTCTTGGGGCCATGTTTGGGGGCCTCGTGGCCGTCTTCGGCAAGTTTCGGGAGCCCTTTGGGCCGTCAGAGAGAATTCGAAGCACGACACGAGAACTCAAAAACCACGAAACTTAACGATTCTTGCCTCGAGGCGCCGTCACGGGACTGCTCTTGAAGCGCTCTTAGGGGCCCTGGGGGCCCTCTTGGGCCGTCCTGGGACTACCCTTTGGCAGCTTCTGGCGCCCATAGGCCAATCATAGCTCGGGAGCGGCCAAGAGGGGGGTGTCCAAGAGGGGGGGGTGCAAATCATGACCCGCGGCACGTGCGCGGCCCAGCGGGGGGGGCCAGGGACGTAATGAAACAAGAAGAGGCGCCATGAGATCTGGGGAAATATCATGGCCCCCGCCATGATATCCCCCCCCCTAGTCATCACCCCCCTCTTTGCCGCCCCCGACGACAGCGTGGGTCTGGAGCCTCCTCTGTGCAGCCCGGGAGCTCTCGCCGAGCCGGCGGGAGCCGTCCGGACGGCGGTGGCCCCCCGTGTCGTGGGGAGGTGCTCCCGGGCCAAAGCCTCCGGCCCGCGTCCCTCGGCAGACACATACATACATACATACATACATGCATACATACATACATACATACATGCATGCATGCATGCATGCATACATACATACATACATGCATGCATGCATGCATACATACATACATACATACATATATACATTCATACATACCTACATACATACATACGTACGTACGTACGTACATACATACATACATACATGCATACATACATACATACATACACACATGCATACATACATACATACATACATGCGTACATACATACATACATACGTACATACATGCATACCTGAATACATGCATACCTACCTACCTACCTACCTACCTACCTACCTACCTACATATATACATACATACATACATACATACATACATACATACATACATACATACATACATACACACATACACACATGCACACATGCATACAGACCTACATACATACATACGTACGTACACGCATACATACATACGTGCATACATACATGCATACATGCATACGCACATACACTCATGCATGCATATATATACACACATACACACATACACACATACACACATACACGCATACCCACATACACACATACATACATACATACATACATACATACATACATACATATATACATACATACATACATACATACATACATACATACATATACACATACACACATACACACATACATACATACGTACACACATACGTACACGCATACATGCATACATGCATACACACCTACAATCATGCATGCACATATACATATATATATATATACGCCCGCATACACAATACATACATACGTACATACATACATACGTATGTATATACATACATGCATACATGCATACACACATACAAGCATGCATGCGTACATACATACATATATATATGCACACATACACACATACACACATACATACTTACATGCATGCATACATACATACGTGCATACATACATGCATGACTACATACACACATACAAACATGCATGCATACATACACACATATATAATTATATATATGTATATATATATACGCACACATACACACCTACATACATACATTCCTACACACATACAAACATGCAGACATACATACGTACATGCATACATGCATACATGCATACACACATACGAACATGCATACATACACACATACATGCACATATATACACATACACATATAGACACCTACAAACATACATCCATACATACATACATACATACATAAATGCATACATGCATACACACATACAAACATGCATGCAGACACACATATATATATATATATATATATACACATACACACATACACACATACACACATACATACATACATACGTACATATACACATGCATACATGCATACACACATACAAACATGCATGCACACATACATAGCTATACACGCATACACACATACACACATACACACATACACACATACACACATACATACATACATACATACATATATACATACATACATACACACATACACACATACATACGCACATACATATGCATACATGCAGACATACCTACATACGTACGTGCATGCATGCATAAACACATACCTACATACCTACAACCATACATACATACATGCATACATGCATACATGCATACATACATACAGACAGACGACCATACAAACATACAAGCACACATGTATGTTGTTTGTGCGTATGTGTACGGTTATGTATAATTTATACAGTTATATAAAGATACAATGTATACCGACGTTTGTGCTTACATCTAGTTGTAATGAAGGACATGCCTGTAGACACATATAATATGTACATATCCGAGAAAGCGTGATCCACCGCCGCCTTGCTGTGGACAATTCCCCCCATCTTCCTCCGGAACCCGGGGGGTCCCCCCCCGCCTCCGAAAATTCCCCCCCTGCTGGACCCCCCCCCCTCCCCTCCCGCGGCGAACCCCCCCCCCTCCCCTCACCTCTCCTCCAGACCAGAAAACCGGAAAACCGGGGGGGGGTCACTACCGGTTCGAACCCCCTCCCCCCCCCCTCGAAAACCGAGGGGGGTCACTACCAGTTCGACCCCCCCCCCCCCTCCCCCAAGAAAACCAGAGGAAGGTCACTACCGGTTCGAACCCTTCCACCCCCCTCTAGAAGGGTCACTACCGGATACCCCTCCCCCCTCGCCCCCCGAACCCCCCCCCCCCCTCGAAAACCGGGGGGGGGGGTCACTACTGTTCGAACCCCCCCCCCCCTCACCGCCAGCAAACGACTCCCGATCCCTACCACCGTCCGCACCACATCCCCCACTGCTGTTCCCAGCACCACTGTCCTCACCACCACTGCCTCCCACCACTGTCCCCACTGGTTCCACCACCGTCCCTACTGTCCCCACCAGTGCCCCCACCACTGTCGCACTGTCCCCACTGTCCCTACCACTGTTCCCACCACGGTTCCACTCTCCCCACTTTCTCCACGGCCCCAACCACTGCCCGACTGTCCCCACTGTCCCCACTGTCCCACTGACTCCTCCGCTGTCCCACTGAGCTGTCCCACTGTTCCCACCACTGTCCCCACTGTACCTCTGTCCCATTGTCCCACCGCCGTCCTCGCCACCGCCTTCACCACTGTCCCCACCACCACTGTACCCTCAACTGTCCCACTGTTTCCACCACATTCCCCACTGTCCCCACACCACTGTCCCCACCACCACCGTCCCCACCACTGTCCCACTGTCCCCACTGTTCCCACCATTGTCCCAGCTGTCCCCACCAGTGCCCCCACCAGTGTGTCAATGTCCCCACACTCCCCACCATTGTCCCACCACGGTCCCACTCTCCCCACTTTCTCCACGGTCCCCACCACTGTCCCACTGTCCCCACTGTACCCACTACTGTCCCACTGTCTCCGCCGCTGTCCCACTGTGCTGTCCCAGCGTCCCCACTGTCCCCATCACTGTCCCACTGTCCCCACTGTCCCCACCACTTTCCCCACCGTGCTACTGTCCCACCATGC